TTACTTAAGATGTTTTGGAGGGCTTTAGTTGGTTTGTGTGCTACGGTGATGCCATGTGGTTTTAATAGTCTGTTGGTGGTTTCTGAGACGTTTTTGATGTATGGCAGTGTTATCCTTTTCATAACTTGTGTTGGTTGTGCTGTAGTGGGTTGAGTGGTCAAACACTTTTTGATAAAGTTGTATGGATATCCATTTTGTTGGAAGATGTTATATATGTGGTCTGTTTCCTTTTTCTGCTGTTCTGGGTTCCTGCAGTGCATTTGTGCTCGGCTGAATAATGTTCTCACACAACTCCTCTTGTGGGAAGCTGGGTTGTTAATTTAGTAATGGAGCACTTGGTTAGTGTGGGCTGTTTTTTGATAGACTTGTGTTCCTAATTTGCCATCATTTCCTCTGCTGATGTGGATATCCAGGAAGGGTAGTGTGTTGTTGTTTTCTTCTTCCCTAGAAAATTTTATTCCTTTGAAGATGTTGTTGACTGTTTCATGTGTGTTCTCTAGTTGTTCCTTTTTTATTATGACGAAGGTGTTGTCCACATACTGGATCCATACTTTTGGTTGTATGCGTGGAAGTGTTAAATTTCTAGACGCTGCGTTACAATCTCTAAAGTATGTATTGTGTGCATTACAATCTCTAAAGTATTGTGTATCCATGATAATCATGGTTTGGCCTTTGACTGCTGGGAGGATGATGATGGTTTGGTCCTTCTTTAGGTTTTTGAGGACTGCTTGGTCCTCTGCTTTGAATTGGTTCTGATTCTGTGTTCTTCTGATCTGTGGTATGATTGTCTGCCTTATGTTTTCTTGGGTCTCTGTGTTACGTCCTGTGGTTTTGAGTGCTGTCTCTAAGGCTGCACAGAATTCTGACTGGTTAGCATTGTCCATGTTATAGTTGAGGCCTTTCTGGAGGACATTGTGTTCTGCAGTGGATAGTGGTCAGCTGAACGTGTTGACTTCTTATTCGGGTTCAGGTACCTCTTGGTTTCTGGGGTTTAGCTTGAGCAGTTTGGTTTGGAGTTTTGTTTTCCTTTTTTCACCTTGTCTTAGGGATGTGATGTGGTTGTCTTGATGGTAGTTGTCAGTATTTTTTGTGTGTTCTAGGATCATGGTTTGTTCCACTTGCTTCTTGAGATTGACTATGGTGTGTTGGTATTTGTTGAGTCTGAGGTAGCATCCATGATCATTAGTCGCATCATTTTACGGCCGCTTTGTTGAGCTATTTTCCATCCAGCTCTGCAATTTATTGGAGGTTTGTATCTGATACTGGTGGGCATGGTATTCTGTCATAGA